AAGGAAGGAAGGAAGGAAGGAAGGAAGGAAGGAAGGAAGGAAGGAAGGAAGGAAGGAAGGAAGGAAGGAAGACAGCAGCTGTGATGGTGCAATCAAAGACTTTTTTGATCCTATCCTGTGGACACCCTGACTCTAAACCAAGAAAGATAAATATCACAATATTTGTTCAACCCTAATATACGCTTCGTCTCTAGTTTCCCTATTATTTTTTTGAATTCAGAAGCCTCTGAGAAATAGCTTTTTCCAGTTTTGTCTCCGTGCTTCATCCTTTTGGCTTACTATAGTCAGACGTCTAAATGTGAAATTAAGCAAGCATTTGCTGGGTGAGCAAACAAATCATGACCTAGTAAAAGGAAAGAAGAAGCAAATGTTGGTGGGCATTGGCCTGGCATGTCATTTCTTTCAACCACTGAAGCTTTGTTTCCTCCATGGCCTTGCTGACAACTGAATTAAAAGAAATGTTTTTCCATTGATCACGCCTTCTCTTCTCCTTCTTTTCTTGCAGCTTAAGGCTCTGTGTTCATATGTTTGTTTGTACTTATCTGGAACTCTTTATCTTTATTTGTAACTTTAAAAGTCCTGTGCTGTTGGGAAGAAGGAGATGAATGGATGAATGGATGTAAGCACAAGTGCCCAGATTTGAAGGGAAAAGGTGGACGATTCAGTAGTAAAACTAGAAAGGGGACGCAAAGATTAAAAACAATATTGGCAGTGATTTATAATACGTTATTTAAAAGAGGTGGAAAACCATCAGCTGCTCAGTAACATTTTTTTTTTCTTGTGCTCTTGCCAGATCAAAACGTCCAGTTCCGTTGTCAACAGGCAGCGCAAGAATTGATTCTCCCATGCCTGTGATCCCTCATCAAAAGGTATGTGTCTAATAGCTTCCTTTGTTGCTGCTGAATTTCTGGATGGAAAGCCCTTGGTCAGGGAGACTGGCATTTGATGTGGGAGAAATTAGAATTACAATACTGTAATGTGTCACATGGCATAGATCATTTTGCCCTTCTAAAAGAACACAATTGCCACCCATCTCTTCTCTTCCTCCTACTTTCAATGACGTGTCCTCAGGCTTCAAGAGAATTCCCATCTCTGGCCTAAGCACTCATTGTCCACAAGTTCTGTATCTCTTTGTTAGCTGTTGTATATACCCTCTAATATTTGGAGGAGGAGGAAATCAAGGAGAGAGAGAGAGAGAGAGAGAGAGAGAGAGAGAGAGAAATCAATAAAAGAAACAAAATCATGCTTTCTGTTGTAGTGGGAGGAGGAGACTTCAGTTTTTCAGTTGGACCACAGGGTCTATTGCTTCTACATCTCTGTCCTGGGTGAAGGACAGAAATGGGAGAACTTGAAAACTCCAAGTTCTCTGGTTTTAAGGGAATGATTACTCCTTAAATGTATCTCAGAGACTTTACAGCTTGTAATGTCTTTTCACAATATCTTAGCAAACTCTTAACAGAATGAGCATTCATTTAAACAGATGATTCCCTTGAGTAAGTAGAATAGGTATAAAAAGTAACCACGAGAATACATTTCAGATTGTTTCTGTTGCATAAAGTGAAGAAAAGATGGAACTTTGCTAGAAAGCTGAAATTAATGCAGACCCTGACAAAGTTAATCTGATAGCCATTGAGTGTTGGTAATGTGGACTGATTTTGCATGATAAATTAACTCTTGGTCCTTATGTAGACTGGGCAGCAGGGAAATACATATTCTCGGTCTCTGGGTTTTGAATCATTCCCTTCCTCACTTCTCATCTAAATCCTGGGAGGATCTATTTATTTGCTATTGACTCCCTTAGCTAAGCATTTCTGGGAATCTTTTTGTTTGAACTGTGGGGTAAAAAGCCTTCAATAAATATTGCTAAGAAGTAACAATGATGACCAAGCAAAGAACAACTCAGGTCCCTCTTAGTATTAAAATAATAGTGTGAAGAGAGTAGGGCTTACATTTAACTCCAGCATTTCTAATGAAGGGACTAGAAAAGAGTTGATAAAACTATTCCCTGAAACCTTGACCAGGGCAAGGAAGCTATGGGTTCACTTCTGACTTTCAAAACTAGCAGCAGGAGAAGAAATATAATGAGCCCTATTTCTTCTCCTTGTGCTTCAAATCTTTATCGTAAAGTTAGGAGCTTGCAAAGCTGGAGAAGAGTAAGCACCCCATGAGGGATAGAGATGTTTGCACAATCATCAGTACAAGAAATTCACAAAGAGGGATACCCCACAGGTATGACTATTTTCAGCGACAAGATAACCTTCAACTTATCTCGCAAGATTCTCTGAGTTTCTTCTTGTACAAAGGACCCTCGGAGTGAACAATTAAATATGCCTGTTCTCTGGCTCAGAGATGCAAGCGATTAGATAAAATGAACATTTACCATTGTTTAAAGACGTTTAAAAGACTGAAGCTGTGATAGGAAGCTGAAAGGATGTCTCGCGTCTTTCTTCTTTAGTCACCGCAGAGAGAAACTTAATTCCAGCTTTCAGAATTCTCCATGAATCCAAATGTTTTTAGAGCTGGAGAACGAGAGAGCCCTTCTCTTTCCTCTGTGACATGAAGCAGGCTAGTAAGGTGATAACAATTAAACTACAGGGAGGAAACCCAATGTTCAGGAAAACAGCCTCTTCTTCTTGCCAGTTGAAAAGTTACACAAGTTTCACATTGGAAACAATCATTTTCATAACCTCTAAAGAGAAACAGAGAAAAGCCAGGTACGAACGCTTTCTGCCCCACTAAAAAAAGAATCAGGTCACAGGTGATATGTAAAAGTTCTTCCACGAAGCCTGGAGAAGTGTCAGTCAGAGTAGAAGGCTACATGGAGAGAGCTATCATATCTGGGCTCCAGAACTCCAGATGACCCCTACAATGCAGCCAAGGGTTACCAAACACTCGAACTCTTTGCTGCCCTCCAGCATTGTCTGGGTTTTTGTAGCCCAATTCTGGTAGCCTTATGCTTGGGCAAATAGTCCAATCTGGTACAAAGCATCTCCTCTGTGGCTATCAGTTTGACTCAATTTTATTTCTGTTCATTTCTGGTCTGCCTGCAACATGACAACCACAGCAGAGACAGGACTAGCAAACTGCTGTGGCCCTCCGCAATCTAAGATGCTCCTGCAACAGAAATCATGGCCAGTCCTGTGATACCCACATGAGAGTGAACCACTGGAAACTTTTCTTAGTCAAGGTTTTGCTGATGGTACAAGCAGACCAATTTCCCTTCAAACACAGAGTCTTGAGCATCTTAACCCAACTGGTTCTCATTGTGTCAGACCACCCGCATTTAGTCTTCCTCCTGCCTGTCCATAACGTTTTTCCCCTCATTTCTTTACACAAATTTGTGTCCATGTTTCATTAAAGTTAACCTTTGTTTCTTCCTGTAACTTCTAGGCCAAGTTCTAAATTAGTTATCTAAAATAAGCACTATCTTTACAAAGGCATCATGTCTTTGTAAGTTCAGTACCGGATCTCTGTGACAGTAGAAATCATCCCATAATAGGTTCCCCACTATGGACTGGCAGCATTTTCTAAAGCCATCCAACCACTGATGTGCCAAAATAATAGTAATGAGGACAGGCTTTATACCTTCTTAATGATGTCTAGATGATGCTACTAGAAGACCTTAAAAATCACTAGTAGGGGATCCTGCCTATCACATTATTTTTCCAGATACCACATTATTTAAGCTGAGGAATTCAAATTCCCATCTCTTCCTCCAGGAAGGAGGAATTGTATATTCCTTTTCTATATACAATACTATACATTTTTTTCTTATTTCTTTCCTTTTTAAAAAAAAAAATCATTGCTTATCATCTCTGTGTGGTCCCTTGGTTCCCCCTATATCCAACTTGTCAATAATCAATCAGTAGAACATCTTCTGTGCAGGGAAAAGCATGCAAAATATGGAGGCATTTGAAGTGGCCAGGCAAAACCTTTGAGAGGTTGCCCCACATACAGTAGACACTTCAAGGAAGACTTCCCCTGAGAATCTCCCTGAGTGCTTACACAACCTGAATTATTACCCAACAACACACAGCATTACAGGCTACTTGGAATTGAAATGGAGACCTCAAGGCCCTTCAGATTATACTGAATTACCATCACCAGGAACCCTGGCTATTAGCCCTGTTAGCTCAGGCTGTCAAGGTTTGCAGGTCAGCAATCTCTGGTTATAGTTCTCTAGTACCCCAGTGCAGTATTAGAAAATGTCTGATTGATGATAAAATGGCTAGAATCATCAAGACAAATACGCATGGACCAGTGTAAGGGCTGGCAGCAGTTGTACAGCCTCCTCTGACCATGGCCCAGTGGCTTTCTTCTGCATGGCCACTCCAGAACCTCATAATATGGATTACTCCTACTGTTTTTTCAGAAGGTTTGTCCACAGTTCTTCAGAATAGCGGTGGGCCATGGCGTCTGCCATGGGGTAAGTGATTAAATGTACATTATGACACAAACACCCCAATTTATGTACTTGACTACGTAAGGGCAGGTTTTGCATCCTGGCGTCCTATGCACAAGTTACCCTTTGTATCCTTGTGGCTTGCTGGCAATGCCACCGTGGCCGATGCTTGGAAGGGGGCAGAGCTTGGCTGGGTCACAATGAAGATGGAGAATGGGGTGGGTTGGGATGACATGATGAGTGATGATGACAGTCTAGAGAAACCCCTAAACTTTCCTTAGTACAACTTACAGGATTGTTTCTGTTGCACAAGTTGAGGAAGGCCTTGAGAGGCTTGCTCATGCTGGCATATTTCAGAAATAGGAACAATTAGGACATTTGCAGATTACAGCCTTCTGATTGATTGCTGACAGGCTAGACTTCTGGGGAAGCCACAATCTCCATGCAGAAGACCCCACTGTTGACGGAAGTCAACTAACAAACTTCCATGAATTCTTCCTTCAGCCTTATGCTTCAATGTTATTCATAGTAATAATTAACACAGGAGATCAGCAAGCAAGAAAATCTCTGATTTTGTTCTGCTCCATGCAGAGGCCTCTTGTGGCTCTGACAGATGGTCAAGCTGAGCCCTCGTGTGTTGTGTGCTACCATCAGATGTTTTCAAAACAGTGATAGCCTAAAGTGTGTCTGGACTGAAATGAACAGGATCACTTATTTATTATACTTTTATTATTAAAGTTCTGAGATAGCCAAGTACCAAGTTTCTTGGGGGTTTATAAAAATAGTTGGTGTAGATTGCTGGATCCAACTGTCTGAACTTTCCCTGTATTGGTGCTGCGTGCAAGTTGGCGTCCTGCAATTCACTCTTGGAAACCTTTAAGTTTTTCCCTTTTATCATGAATAGGGACCAAAGGACCAGGAAATCAGTAATGAGGAGGACATCTGATAATAATTTCTATCTGTTTAGTCAAAGGGTGGGGAAAGACTGGGAGCAACCAGGGTAGAATTACTGACTTAGGCTCAAGATTCCTGTGGTGTAGATGACCCCCTTTCATTTGCTCAAATGAAAGTTATGTACTAAGGAAGATCTATTAATAGTTTCTTCTTTACAGCCTATTTTGCTCACCATGTTGCATGGCGTTGATTAGCATGAACTTTGGCCACTGCTGACAGCAGCCTTTATTACTGAAACTAATTATATAGAGACCGACTGCAAACATGTTCGCTCTTGCATTCCTCGTTTATTGCATTGTTATATGTATGCAAATGCTGCCCAGACATCCAGATCTCTTGAAGAGTCCACTGTCCTTTCCATGCGAATAAATTGGCAACTGCAGAGGACAACCTGTTATATAACTAATAAGAGCAGCTGTTTGGAGAAGAAGATTTATTGATGTGCCTCTTCGGGAAGAGATGAAGTTAATGTTTTTGCTTGACTAATGCAAGTCTGTTGAAGCTGCTTATTTGGTTTGATGCAAATGTCTGATATGTAAAGTTGCCAACCAGGCCACAGATGAAACAATACATCCACGTCAAGTGACTGCCCCTGGTGTCTAAAAGCCAATAAATTCCAGATTTTGCCAGGAACTTCCCACTAGGCTCTACCCTGTTTTGATTTCTGAGCTAACAAACTCTGTCCTGACAACGCATGTTTTGCTTGCTCATATTCCAATAAACGGTTGGCAACCTTACTGCTCTAGGTAGAATGTCAGAGCTGAGAATTTTTCCTTTCTGCATGAATGCTATGATTGTTTTCCTTTCTTTCTTTCTTTCTTTCTTTCTTTCTTTCTTTCTTTCTTTCTTTCTTTCTTTCTTTCTTTCT